AGATCAGTCCTTGTTCCCTCTCTCCAAGCCTCCTAAATACTCTTGTCATCACACGCCCCCAAATCCCATCACTTCCTTGTATAAGAACCTATGATAGTTTATTGCCTCTCAAATCAGGTTCATTCACTGAACCCACAGTGTCGGGCAACTGTTTCCAATACTTCTCAGTAGAAACCTTCTGTGACTGTCTTATTTCCCATGGGCACTTATCCCCTGCCCTCAGTATCAGGCTGCTTAAATCTGTCTTTATTTTTACTCATGCTATCCCCTTCTGAGAATGGTGTTGTCATTTGCTGGTTTAACATTTATTCTTTTATTATTATTACTTTGAGGCGGAGTCTTGGTCTTTCACCCAGGCTGGAGTGCAATGACGCGATCTCATCTCACTGCAACCTCTGCCCCTCGGGTTCAAGCGATTCCCCTGCCTCAACCTCCCGAGTAGCTGGAATTACAGGCACCTGCCAACACACCCAGCTAACTTTTGTGTTTTTAGTACAGATGGGATTTCACTGTGTTGGCTAGGCCAGTCTTAAACTCCTGACCTCGGGTGATCTGCCCTCCTAGGCCTCCCAAAGTGCTGGGATTACAGGCATTAGCCACCGCGCCTGTCCTTTATTATTTTTGAGACAGGGTCTCACACTGTCACCCAAGCTGGTTTGTGCAGTGGCACGATCACAGCTCACTGCAGCCTTGACCTTCTGGGCTCAGGCTATCCTCTTGCCTCAGCCTCCAGAGGGGCTGAGACTACAGGCATGTGCCACCATGCTAAGATAATTTAAAAATTTTTCGTAGAGGGAAGGTCTTGTCATATTGCCCAGACTGGTCTCAAACTTCTGGCTCAAGCAATTGTCTCACCTAGGCCTCGCAAAGTGCTGGCATTATAGGCATTATATGAGCCACCACACTGCCAACTTTTACTCTTTTAAGGCCCGTTTTGTGGTCCACTTCTCCCACTCACTAATCACTTCCTTCTTAGCACCCTCTAGTTCTTGCCGTCTGTTGAATTTCACATTCTAGGACTTTATTAATGACTCTATTGGACTTTTCCATGAAAAAACAGTGGTTCCTTAATTCCTCAGAGTAGATTTTAAACTTCATCAGGGCAATGCCATGCATATTCTTTAGCTCAATAACATTTGGCTCTGGACTGCTTAGACAAGTGATTATTGACTCAAAAGGAAAGAGAAAATTCATATTCTCAGTTTATTAAGTTCTTCCAATGTCATCACTGTACTGCTCTCAATTTAAAATGAGGAAACCAGGCTGGGTACAGGGGCTCACACCTGTAATCCTAGCACTTTGGGAGGCTGAAATGGGAGGATTCCTTGAGGCCAGGAGTTTTAGACTAGCCTGGTCAACATAGTGAGCCCCCTACCTCTTAAAAAAAATTTTTTTTTTTAATGATGAGGAAACCAAAGCCAAGTAATTTGCCCAAGGTCACAATGCTGACATAAGTTAGACCCAGGACCCAAACTCAGGCAGCTTGGGTTCAGAGCCCACGTACTCACCCCACCACACCATGAGGATCACATAGAATAGCAGTTAATCCCAGTCTGTGCTTTTTTTTTTCCCTGACGTTATTATTATTATTATTTTGTTATACTTTAAGTTCTGGAATACATGTGCAGAACATGCAGGTTTGTTACATAGGTATCCACATGCCATGGTGGTTTGCTGCACCCATCAACATGTCAACTACATTAGATATTTCTCCTAGTGCTATCCTTCCCCTAACTCCCCACCCCTCTAACAGGTCCCAGTGTGTGATGTTCCCCTCCCGGTGTCCATGTGTTCTCATTGTTCAACTCCCACTTATGAGTGAAAACGTGGTGTTTGGTTTTCTGTTCTTGCGTTAGTTTGCTGAGAATGATGGTTTCCAGCTTCATCCATGTCCCTGCAAAGGACATGAACTCATCCTTTTTATGCTGCATAGTATTCCATGGTGTGTATGTGTCACATTTTCTTCATCCAGTCTATCATTGATGGGTTGGTTCCAAGTCTTCGATATTGTGAACCGTGCTGCAATAAACATATGTGTGCATGTGCATTTATAGTAGAATGATTTATAATCATTTGGATATATACCCAATAATGGGATTGCTGGGTCAAATGGTATTTCCAGTTCTAGATCCTTGAGGAATTGCCACACTGTATTCCACAATGGTTGAACTAATTTACACTCCCACCAATAGTGTAAAAGGGTTTCTATTTCTTCACATCCTCTCCAGCATCTGTTGTTTTCTGACTTTTTAATGATCACCATTCTAATCGGCATGAGATGGTATCTCATTGTGGTTTTGATTTGCATTTCTCTAATGACCGGTGATGATGATCTTTTTTTCATATGTTTGTTGGCTGCATAAATGTCTTCTTTTGAGAAGTGCCTATTTATATCATTTGCCCACTTTTTGATGGGGTTGTTTGTTTTGTTTTGTTTCTTGTAAATTTATTTAAGTTCTTTGTAGATTCTGGATATTAGCCCTTTGTCAGACGGATAAATTGCAAAAATTTTCTCCCATTCTGTAGGTTTCCTGTTCACTGTGATGATAGTTTTCTTTTGCTGTGCAGAAGCTCTTTAGTTTAATTAGGTCCCATTTGTCAATTTTGGCTTTTGTTGCCATTGCTTTTGGTGTTTTAGTCATGAAATCTTTGCTCATGCCTATGTCCTGAATGGTATTGCCTAGGTTTTCTTCGAGGGTTTTTCTGGTTTTAGGTCTTACGTTTAAGTCTTTAATTCATCTTGAGTTAGTTAGTCCTATGCTCTTCTTGAGAACTGGGAGGCCCAGCACCGCTGAGCTTTTGCATATAAGAAGGACACTTCCTTTTTTCCCCTAGAGGTGGGGATACATGCGTGTGGTTTTTATGTAGGCAACCTCATCACTGGCCATGACCTCAGGGAGAGTGGACCAGTGACTTTAGAAGCCCATTAGTTGAAAAGTACGTTGCTTGATTTTAATTATTGTGTAGGGCAGGTGTATATATTGAAAGGAAGGTCTTGTCCCTATTCTCAAACCTTCGCATTATTTCTAGGAGTGATAAATATGAGAACTTCCTTGGCTCTACAGCCTGACAAACTTGTGGTATTTTACCTTTTCGCAGGGTTGATTCTTTTATTTCTGCCTCCTTTGAGAGGTCCCTGTCCCCGTAGTCATCTTCAATCAGCTAAGAACATTTGCTATCAGAGCTATATTTTTATTATGAACAAGTAAAGCAGCTGTTTCTGAAAATTAGACAATTTTTGGAAAATTAGCTTCATCTTTTTCCTACTTTATGATAAAAGTAAGTGTTAAGTGTTTTTAAAAAAAAGGGTTGAGGGAAATGTTTATGAGGAAAAAAACGGTATTTAGAAACGCTGATCTTCAGGGCAGCAGGAAAGGCCAAGGGCTAAGCTGCAGCACAGCATGGTCACTGGGGGCTCGCTACACAGGAAGCAGAAGCCGTGGCACATGCAGATGTCCACGGGGACCATCACATGTGTAGGCCTTCTTTGTGAGTCGTTTGGAACAGCTATTATATTCGATGGCCAAAAAGAAATTTCCATATAAAACTGGCACTCTTCTCTTGGTATTTTTTTTTTTTTTTACCTTGGAATTTTGTACAGATTTAAAAGTAAGTACTTCTAAGTATCAGCTCTGGCTAAAGAGAAGCTATATCCTTCAGAGACGTTCTCTACATTAAATAAAACTTTTCAAAAATCTGAGCATATAATCCTGCTATTGTCCAGCCACTGCTCTTTTATTTGAATTACAAAATATTTGTCATCTGGGGACTGCCCACATTTATTTTCAGTTTTTTTAAAACATTTAAGATATTTCTAAAAGTATATATATATATATATATATATATATTCAGAGAATATTAATTTAATTTTAAAAATGGAATCAGGGCACATTTTTATGTAGTGGAAAGAGAATTTGTATATTATGAGTCCAAATCTGTCTTTACTATGTGACCTTGGGCACATCTGGCCAGCCAGGACGCAGTTTCCTTATCTGCAGGGTTGTGAGGAGTGAGGAAAAGAGAAAAAGAGACAGAGGTCTTTCCCAGCTCCCAAAGGTTAGGCTTTTATAAATCCAAGCATCCCAGAGTTCATTCTTATTGTTACAGTGACCCCTTGTGGTATATATCCTTAACCAATTTAGTTTTGATTTGCAAAGTAAACTGGAGTTTTTTGTTCTTTCTAGTAACTGTATTTCACGTTGTTAGGCAAATATGACTTGTTTTAAAAAGATAAATCTTACTTGAAAATCAAAAGTGAATTAAAGCACCATATAGAGGCCAGGTGCGGTGGCTCATGCCTGTAATGCCAACACTTTGGAAGGACGAGGCAGGCGGATCACCTGAGGTCAGGCGTTTGAGAACAGCCTGGCCAACATGGTGAAACCGCATCGCTACTAAAAATACAAAAATTATCCAGGCATGGTGGCATGTGCCTGTAGTCTTAGCTGCTGGGGAGGCTGAGGCAGGTTGCAGCAAGCCTAGATCGCGCCACTGTATTCCAGCCTGAGTAACAGAGCAAGACTTCATTTCAAAAAAACAAAAACAAAAAACCCAGCATATAGAGCACCAAACCCCACCGGATAAACAATTCTCGATGGTTTCTTCAGAAACCGTATATTGGCTGGGCACAGTGGCTCACTCCTGTAATATTAGCAATTTGGGAGGCTGAGGCCGGAGGATCACTTAAGACCAGGAATCACCAGCCTAGACAATGTAGTGAGACCCCATCTCTACAAAATATTTTTTAAAAGTATCCAATCATGGTGGCATGTGCCTGTAGTTCCAGCTACTTGGGAGCCTGGGGTGGGAGGATCACTTGCACCAAGGAGTTTGAGGCTGCCGTGAGCTATGACCGCAGAACCACTGTACTCTAGCCTGGGTGACACAGCTAGACCTATCTCAAAATAATAAATAAGAAACTGTATATAGCAGACTTTTGTCATTTACAGAATTAGAAGTGTTTTGATGTTTGTGCTGAGTGCTTTATGTATTCCTCCTAGGGACCAGGGGAAAAGACATGCAAGGGCCTCATCATGCCCCAGCAGCTCAGACCTGAGCAGGCTGCAAACCAAAGCAGGTGAGGGGTCCCCACACTCCTTCATCCACAGCATCTCCACTTGGAGGAAAAACATTTGGACTGATGATGTCTCTGTTGGCCCACTGTTTGAAAACTTCAGGAAGTTTGTCCAATTTGATCACAAATCAACATTTATTTTTATACATTTTTATTATATTCATACAATCTTACCATCTTATCACTACTCAACTCTGATGCCTCAAACATCTATAGATGACAGTCTTAATGATCTTATAGAAATTATTTTGTAAAAGCATTTGGAAAGTTGCAAAACTTGACATTAACATAGTTCTTGGATTCAAAACTTGAGTTCAAGGCATTGCTTAGCCGGGCATGGTGGCTCACGCCTGTAATGCCAGCACTTTGGGAGGCTGAGGCAGGTGAATCACTTAATGTCAGTAGTTCAAGACCAGCCTGGCCAACCTTGTGAACCCCATCTCTGCCAAAAAAAAAAACCACACACACAAAAAAAATTAGTGGGGCATGGTGGGTGGGAGTGGGCTACCTGCAATCCCAACTACTTTGGAGGCGGAGGTGGGAGAATCACTTGAACCCATGAAGCAGAGTTTGCAGTGAGCCTAGATTGCACCACTGCACTCCAGCCTGGGTGACAGAGCGAGACTCGTGTCAAAAAACAAAAACAAAAGAAAAAAGAAAAAAAGGTAATTGCTTACTTAAATGAAGCTATGTTAATTTTATTGAGTGTCCTTTACACTGTTTAATTGAGAAAATATGTAACAATATAAAACACAGTCTAGAAATGATACAAAATGTATTCATGCAATAGAATATAGTTGTTAGAAAAGTATAATATTGTAATATTGAGTAAATTCAGTACAAACATATTAGATGAAAAATATATTGTTTATGGATACACAGCCATGTGGTAAGCATGTGAAGTCAAGTGTAATCATAGGAACCAGTGGATTTAGAATGGTGGTAACCCTTGGAGGGAGAGGGAGGAGGGGAGTGGATGCAGGGAGGCACACATCTATAATGTTTTATTTCAGATAATAATAAGGGAAAGGATAAAAATATGGCAAAATATTAATATCTGACCAAACTAGTATGGGGTACACTGGTGGTGAATGTTATAGTCTTAATATGTTTTTGTACACATGAGATTTTACCATACTAAATAATAGATTTTAAAAATTATTATCTTCAAAACTTAATGTTTTATCAATAAAATGACTTTTGCGCCATCGGGAATTTCTTTACTCAGGAAAATCTTAGATATACCAATTTCCAAGCCAGCATAGTTGCTAAGGATTTTTACATTTACATGCTAAAAACATCAGCCAATCCAAACATTGTGTCAGGTTTTTGTGTCCAGAACTCAAAGCTGTGGTTAACAACTATAACCACTGAGACAGCAAAATCTTCAAAAACATGCTGAAATTTTTGCTTGACTTACCCAATTTCCTGTTGAATCATAATTTTTATATTTAGCAAACCATGAACCTGATGAAAGTGCTTTCTAAAGTATTAGATTGTTGCCCAAAATTGAGACAAATAATAATTTATGTATCTGTGTGTCTCTTAAAAAGCAATCATGTGATTCCATGCTTCATTTTCTGGAGTAACTCAGGGATGGTGTATAAGATGGAGGCAGGGGGAGGCCCAGGGCGAGTGAAGAGGTGGGAGGGCTCTAGCCAGACACAGCTGTGCACTTTGGGATTCCTGGGAGAGAGTTGGAAGGAAACCCTCATACCACAGTGTCTGAGTAACTTCTGTTCTGAGAAGAAGCAAATCTCAGAAACATTCAGAAGGGCCTGTGAGGGTTAAATAAATTGTTCTGCAATTTGTGATTAACCCCTATAATTCAGCTCATTCTGGATAAGTTATCCATTTTATTTGTCTTAAAAAAAACAGGTTGATAGTCATGGTTTCTCACAAAACTTCTCTATTAAGCAGCATATTACATAGAAGGTAAAAAATGCAGACTTGAACTTACTGGATCAAAGTTTGTGTTTCTAGTAAATTTAAGTGCGTCACAAATATGTGTTGATTAAATAACTTGCCTGGCTTATTTTCTGGCTTTCCTTTGCCTTCATAAGTTGATTTTATTTTATTTTTTTTATATATATTTTGGACTTTGAATAGGTTAGTTGTCTGCAAATATGAGCAACTATGTTTTTTATATTACTTGAATATTCATGTTTACCTTTAGAATCCATATCCATAAATTATCAGAGTTAAGGCAGATTCATAAAAATAATGATCCAAAAGATTGAGATACTAGCCTACAAACTGTAGTTCCAAAATCCCTGATCCTGACGGGAAGCCAGTTAGAGTCTTTGTTTTGTTAGTGTGAATGTTCGTATATTTTGCTACAGGGTGCTGCCCCAGAAGACCCTACTGGGTGGTATGTCATATGCAACGTATATACCATATTGACTTTCTAAAATTTGTATGTTTCTGAATCCCAAACCACATCTGATTCCAAAGGTTTTGGATAAGGGATTGTGAATCTGTACTGATGTGAACTAATTTTTTCTAACGACATAATATATTATGGTGAAGTCTTGCATTGGGTTAGATTAGATTATCTGAAACCTTGCTATTAAGGCTATTTACTGCACTGCAAATGTTTAATAATAGCTTTGTTGATAACCCCTTTCTATTTACTTTTGCTGCTTAGGTGATCTTGGATGCCCTGTGTGGGTCAGCTGCTCTTGGCAGTAGGAAGGGTTGATAAAAGGCAACCCTGGACTTGCTGCAACTGGGAGTGGCCATTTCTAGCATGTAGCATAACAGGGGAAGGCCTGCATGTTGGATGGGATAAGTAGATTGTACAGCATCCCTGCTTCCCCTGGGTGACATCAGCACCATTTGATGCTTTGAGGATTCATTTCAAAATTCAAATGAATTTTTTAATATATACTATTATATGTTATCTTTGGATTTTTCTGCTGTTTATACAGATAATCGTGAAGGGACTTTATTGAATTTCTTGATGCAGAGAATGTTATTTTAACTGTGTTAAAATTATTAATATGGATATTAACTAAGGTATGCACATTTAAGATGTGTTGCATATATTTTTCTCTTCAAGAATAGTAAGAATGCATTAGAGGCATTGGAAAATACAGAAGAGCACATAAAAGAAATTATTAACCCCTAATCCCATTATTTAAAGATAACCATTGTTACCCCATTTTACAGAAGAGAGGTGAAGCAGTTTGCCCATCGTCAACCAGCTAGTAGGTGGCAGAGCTAGGATTCAAACCCAGATGGTGACCCCAAACCTGTGCTATTAACAGGCTGCCTGGTCACCTTGTTCTTTGTTTAAAGTAACCTGAAAATATACGGGCTATATACTCTTTTGTTCCTCTCTCGGTCTCTCTGTCACTGTCTCTCTCTCTCTCTTTCTCTCCCCCAACCTCTCACCTTCTGATTGTTCCTGATTTCTAACTCTTTGTGTGACATTTTTAGGGTCCAGACACCTTCTGTGTGGACCCTTAATTGGTACCAGGTCTACCCTGCCCCGAGAGGGCATGGACTCCCTGACCTGATATAGACCAAGTGCCAGGAAAAGGACTGAAGGGGTGGTCTGCAGAGAAGGGAGACTGAGGAATACATCTCCAGCACTGTCCAGCACTGTTCAGGCATGCCTCAGCACAGTAATGCCACCTCCAGCTACAATCAGTGTTTTAGATCTTGAGATACTGCCTGTGTGAGATATAATCATAATTTGCAGTTTCTAATATGAGTTACATTTATTCTCCCCCAACGTTACTCTTTAGTCTCCTAGTTTGCTCCAAGTCAGCATAGGTTTGAGATCAAGTACAGAGGCTGGGGAGCTATATGACCTTGGGCAGATAACTTAATACATTTGGGCTTCACTTTCTTCACCTGCAAAATGGGGACAGTGTGGGAACCTCCTCATAGCATTACTGCAAAAATGAAATGCAGGCCTCCTGCATCTGAAGTACACTGCCAATGGCTGCTGTTTCCTACAGCCCATATTCACATGCAGCATCTACTCTTGACGGCTTGGTAGCATCACACAGGCATGAGATACTGTAGGGGTGGTTACCTGTTTGTATGCTTATTTAATCAGGGAAATGAAATTGAATTGTATATTGCTTGGTACTGGGCTCAGAGCTTTACATATACCATGTCTTAATTCTCATACCCTTGAAGGCAAATAGTCTCTGTTTTGCTGATGAGAAAACATACTCAGAAAGGATAAGAAACTGAACCCCAATCACACACCATGTCAATAACGGAGTTGGGATTTGAATTGAGATTTGTCAGCCTCATTGAGAAAAGCCCCCAGGCTTTTCTGCAATGCCACACAAAATCACTTGGCATTAATGCTACTGGCCCCAGTAGCATTTTAGGAAAAAAAAAAATTCTAAAAGGGAGACATAAAAGGTCTTTCTTTTCTATAGAAATAAATTGTTAGTGGGGACACTTTATTACTATAGAAAAGAAAGACCTTTTAGGTTTCCCTTTTAGAAAATTTTTCATTGCACATTTAAAAAATTCTTATTCTTTACATATCTCTAGTTATCTATTCCACATTACAAAGGGATAAATTTAAGTAGAAAAGAACTCAAAACTGTTTGCCTTACTGACAATCACCAACATTTACAAAGCTGACTACTTTATGAAGTGAGCAGATCATATTTTAAAGTTCTGACTTCTTTACATTATCCAGTCTGAGTTTAATTTGGGGTGATTTGATTAGAAGACCTGCAGTTCTAATGAGAAATAGTTGGGATTGGGGAGCAAAGGGAAATTTAGTTCCCTAGTTTATTGTAGTGATGAATAGTAAAGGCTTTTGACTGTGCTTCATTACCACTCCTTTTTCATAGCTTTTTCTTCTGCTCTGGATTTCTTTTGCAGTCTCAAAAGCTGACCTGCAAGAAAAGGATGCAGAAATAGAAGTAGATGAAGCCTTTTGGAATACAAGGATTGTACCGATTTTGCATGAATTAGAAAAGGGTAAAAAGAAAATCCTATTTTTGTTTTTTAACAAAAAAATCTGT